CCTATAGTATAGAGGGTTTTCTTTTAAAGATTTATTTATTTTTATTTTATATATATGAATGTTTTCCTAGCATGTGTGTCTGTGCACCATGTATCTGCAGTGCTCACAGGGGCCAGAAGAGGGCATCATATCACCCAGAACTGGGATTGTAGATAGTTGTGAACCACTTTCTGGGTAATAGATTCTGACCAGGTCCTCTGAAAGAGCAGTCAGTGCTCTTAGCAACATAGTCATCTCTCCAACACTCATAAAAGGAGTTTAAGTGCCTTAATTTTTCAGTTAAAGCCTTGGTGAGACTGGCCCTGCTGCATCCCAGCCTTACCTTCCACTCCACACTTCAGCTAGAGAAGGTGAGATTTCAATCTTCCCTATTGTCTTCCGTCACATCATGGTCCCTGGCCACACGTGTGCCTCCCTCCTCCACTCCCCTTTCTTTTTGGAAGGAGAAAAGGCTGAACACTGGGTCTTGCTAGGCAAATGATCTGCTATTGGGCTCCTTCCTCCCCCGTTAGGGTTGTCTTTGAATTTTAGTTACACATCCTCCTCCATGAAGCCTTTCACAATTTCTCCATTTGAGATTCATTCTCCCTTTACACAGTGAGAGAATTTTGTGCTTGGATTTTTTTTAAAATCACATTCTAGAAAATCACATGCTGAGAAGATCCTGGGGTTTGATTCTGCCTCTATCACTTTCAACAAATGAGACTCTGGGTTAATAACATAAACCCTGATTACTGTTTTCTTATCTGTGAAATGCATGTAGACTCATACTTTGGTCTTTTTGAGATGCAGTAAACAGTAACTGCATTGCACAGAGCACACTCTAGTAGCTGTTTTTGTCAAGGCAACAGTCTAACTAACCACCTGCTTGGTGATATAGTTAACTGGAGTAGGCTGTTTTCCTACTCTAGACTTGGATGTGGATTTCTCTAATTCATCTTCAACTAACCCCAAGGAAGACCCCAACAAATGGATGGATGGATAGATGGATGGATGGATGGATGGATGGATGGATGGATGAAAATCACAGAATACACATAACTCCCATCACCTGTTAAAGAGATTCGTGAATTAGGAGGTTGGGACCAAGAATGTTCTTGGTAAGTCACTGGATTAATCTAAATTTCCAACCATCCCAGGTGAATCCATCCTCCATCCTTAGCACTTCAGGCTCTCAGCCCCAACTGCCCTGGTGGCTGACCATTCCCTGCTGTTCATGAGAAACAGACCAATGGCTCGAACTTGAGGATGGAAAAATTTTCAGCATACAGACAGATTTTGGCGGATAACGAATGGCTAGGAGCTTTCACCCCAGTTTTTCCTCTCTTAATACTGCAATGTATTGAAAATGGTCCAGCCAAGAAAATTATTGCTTCTCTTTACCTGGATCTTAAATCTTTCTGCGAAGACATCTTTTTTTAATTGAAAATGTTCAATCAATCTCTATTCTCCTTCACCTTTGTCCTGCTCCTTCACTCAATCAGGGCCAATATAAGAAATAATCTGGAGTGAATAAGGCTTTGTGGCTAGAGGAGGCAAGGGAAAGAGGTCTGTCCTAGACAAGACCCACCTTTACAACTGTCTTCTCAACTGAGCCCACTCAAAGTGATTAGCTCCAGTTTTGAAGAACAACCCAATTCTTTGGAGATCTTCAAGGGTGTTGGTGAGCAAGGCAGCTACTTCTGTGATGCCTCAAGTCTGGCTCTCAGTATAAACACTAAGGGAGAGATGAGGCTTCTCTCTCCCTCATTCATTCATTCATTCATTCATTCATCATTCAGTCAGCCCTGTGCTACTCATCAACTATATCTGGCTGCGCACTGCAGCCCAGCAAATCTGTGAAGCAGGTGTTTCACAAAGACATGAAGGCTCAGGGAGATGGAGTGACTTGTGTAAGGTCACTCAGTGTCTAGTCCTCTGTTTCCATTTTAGGCACTCTTGCCCTAAAATTTGTGTCTTAAAACAATGCTATCCTTTCATGTTCTCTGTGGGTCAGACATTTGAATGAGTCTCAGTGGGAGGGTCTTAGGAAGAGTCTGGCTGAGTTATAGGTAAAAAGTGACTGAGGCTGGAATAACAGAGGCCTATAAAGTGAAAGCCGACCAATAGTCAATCCTCTGCTTCTTTGTACAGTCCCGGGACTTTCGGGTGGTCTGTCTGCTTTTCTATAAGCTTGAGACCCTAGCTTGAGTACTTCAAAATACAAGGTTCAGTTACTTTGCTTTATCTGACCTTACCACACAAGTCTAATAATGTCACTTCCACCTGGGCCATTCTTTTGGTTAGAAGCCAGTTAAAAGTCACAGGGAAAGAACACAAAGACTGTGCCTTTCAGGGGAAGGAGTATCAAGGTCATATTAGAAGAGCATGTGAGACCAAAGACAGTCTTGCAGACATTTGGAAATTAAAATCTTCTAACCATAGCGTACGACAGAATCAGGATTTGGGCTAGACACATCTGCTTCCAAAAATGTCTGCTGAAGCTCACCAGCTCAGTCCACAGGGACCTCTCATTTCCCCCATGCCCTGCAGCTATTCCTTTCAACACACATATTCCCAATTTGGTCTCTCTGAGCCAACTAGAGACTGTCTGGGTTCAAGCAGCCACCTTGTCTCTGCAGGCCCCTGCCAGGAGACAGCCTCTGGGGGCGGCTTAGTCAGAGAGGCCATGCTCAGTGCCAGCTTGTGGACTTTTCAGAGAAGGGGACAGAGAAGGTCAGACACAGCCAGAGAAAGAAAGCAGGTAGCAGCCCCAGAGCACGGCAAGCCTGCAGTGCAGCTCGCTGTCATCAACACGGTGCCTGCTGTTTCTCCTCCTCCCACGGCATTCTGACCTGGGATGACTTGGGCTTTGACAGAAAAGGTGCCTTCAAGTTGAGAAACGGCCCAGGGCAGTGGAAACTCATAGTCTGGAATCAGACCTGCCTGGATTTGACTTCTGATTGTACCATTATCAGCTATGTAGCATTGTAAAGTTCCTTTGCCCAGAAAAGATAAAGAAAATATTGTTTAGATGCATGTGTGAATGGGAAACCATTTCTGCACTCTTGCCTATGGCCTTCTGAAGGCCTCTTCAGCTGTCCTGTCTTTTGTCCAGCTAGGAGCAGCCCTTCTTCAGAGATTCTCTTGGACTAGCAGCCGCTTCTGTCATGTCACCCACCATGACCCAGCTCCATGTATTCCTGGGTCAGGGCTGTGAATCTTCCACTGGAAGAACCAGGTTCCAGATGGTTTATTAGGTAGGAGAAAGATAGACACAAATGTGAAATAGTGTAGGTTCCAGAGAGGCAAGGCCTGGGTTTAACTCAACTCCAGCATTTATAAGGTATCTCGCTTTAGGGGAAGTCACTTACTTTGTCTGAGCAATAGGAACAATAATAGACTTCCCTCATTGGATTGTTATGAGATTGCCTAGCACATACTAAACACTGCTTAGCTATTGGGTGTCATTATTCATGTTATTTCATGCTACTGCCCAGCAAGCCCATTGGTATGTAGATGATTGAGTCAAGCAAAGACTGTATAAGCTAGAGGGACGTTGAAAAGAAGGGCCAATTGAAATGCAATATTGCCGAGTAGTCTGACTGGCCAAGAACTATACAAAGATACCATGGGAAACCTAGGAAGACCCTATTCCAGCAAAGGCACCAAGGAAAATATACCCATTAATGTGATAACTGGATGAAGGTCTGGAGGCTGAGATGATTCTGGTCCTATAAGACATGCTTGGCATGGTGGTGGAATGGGATGCATGGTGAATAAAGACCTAGGAGTTACAGGATTAGAAAAGCAGAAACTGCAGAAGGCTGGGAGGTGGAAGGTAGCAAAAAGGGAACTGAGAACACAGCCGAAGGCCAAGTTATGAACAGCAACTGGAAGACACCCGAAGGCTTTTAGTCACTTAGTAACACTGTTGGGTCTGACTTCACTGTTGAAAAGATCCTATAAAGGGTTATTCTGGGACAGGAATTCCAGAGAACAGGATGGCAATTGTCCAGAGGAAAGGTGATGTTGACCTATTTTGGAGGATGGGAAGACGTGGATAAAATCAAGAAATGAGAAGACTCTTGGGGAAGGTTGACAGCTTGGGTGTTTGTAGCTGATGGGGGTGGGGAGGAGGAGCCATTGTGAGTACACACTGTTTCTACCCTGTGAGAAGTATCACACACTCTGAATGAGGTCACTTCTAAAGCCGAGGTTGTAGGGAGCAAGGACAACACTCTCAACCCTGGGACAACAGCGCAGAAGATCCTGGGGAATCTAGTGAAGAGGCAGTGGCTAATTGGAGAGCCCACGATGTGTATTAGCTAAGACAGGGAGTTAGGGAGGTCCTACAGGCAAAGGAAGTAGCAGAGAACCTCAGAGAGGTGGATATACATAAAGCAGGTACACAGATGCTGTATTAATTGATCTCAGGATGTTAATACCAGTTTAGAACTGGAGCCCTCTCCTTCCCTGGGGAATTTATGATTTGATAAATAGGCTACAAATCTCCTCCCTAGGGATTTATTATTTGTCAAATAGCAAGGAGCAATGGATTCTCTATAGAAGCAGAGAGTTTTTCTGAGATTACTCTCAAGAGAGATGCCTGGTCCTTGAGGGTCAGGCAAACCTGCTCTATATGCAGCAAAGGGCTCTTGACCTTGATGCTTGCTCATCAGGACTCATTCTGGACTACTTGAGGCCTGAAGAGAAAATCCCCATATTCCTAAAAACTAGGTACACAGACGTTGGGGCATATTACTTAGACCCCAATGCCCACTCTCCTTCTTCTGTTTTGTGCATTTTAGTTTCTTGTCTGTGAAATGAGGATCATAATTATCACTGAAGGTTTTGTGAGGATCAAGAAGACAAAGCTTGCCAAAACCACAGAGTGGGGTGGGGGAGGATGACACCACCTTTGTCACTGCTGTATTTGCACTTTCATTTTTTTATAACTAGGACTCTTTTTTACCCTGTTCGACCTCTTTTCAGAGATGTTTCTTAACACACACCTGCAGATATGAAGCTGGGGAGAAATGTGGCAAGAACATTTCTAGATTATTACCGCCTGAATCCCTTGGTTGATAGGATGACGGTCCCCATGCCAAGGCTTCGGTAAGTGGTCGAGCCAAGCAATCCGGCTCAGGTCCTGCTTCCCTGGGTCTGTATTCAGAGAAGCTTCTCTCAGCCTTCTGATGCCCCTCAATTTCCCACCTGTGTCACAGGAAGGGCAACCCCAGCTCTGTCACAAGGACCAGTATGGGTCCAGGAGGTATGTTTCCTAATACAGGCATCCATGAAGCTTCATCTCCAGTTTCTGGGATTTCAGCCCAGATTGCCAACTAACCTCCCATGGTTCAGGGAGGTACCTTGACTCACCAGGTTGATCAGACTGAATGATGGTTCAGGGTCCCCTTTCTACAATGCAGTAAACTGTATCCCTGAACTCCAATCTGCAGATTACATAACAGTACAGTCATACATAGTGGACAGTCTCATTCCAGACCCATCATAGGAATCTCCAGGGATGGGGCGTTGCCAGGAGCCACAATCAGCCACTGATCTAAGTTAGCCTGGCAGTTTATATATTCTATACCATGTGATCATTCATCCTTTTATGGTTCCTAAATATGAACTCTAATTATCCAGTTCCCTAGCCTATAAAGCAGACACTGTTGGACACATTTTTCAGGTTACTGTGGACTTTACATTCAAACACTAGTACCAGGTATATGAGCATCCCATCAGTCTACGATAGTCCCCTTCCCTTAACACTTGAAGGTTTAGGCTAAAGAGGACACACCCTTAAAAAGTCCCATCTCGCTCCTCTGATGGACCCACTTGTAGATCTAAGGAGGAAAGAAGACTGGGATGTGAGCATCCGTCTTATCTGAGAGCTGAACAGCAGCTGGAAGTGCTGGGAGTTCCTGTGTGTGCTGGTAGAGCACTCACTGAGCATCTGGGCAGTGACATCCAGTGGCATCTGTAATGTGCTAGCACTGCTCTACCTATGGGCTTCATCTCCTGTTCCCCTAGTGGTCCAGGCTCCTGGAATGACATGGCAGTGTCCAACTCTCTACTCCTACCAGACCATTCTTTCCACTGATGTTCGCTATATTCTTTGTTGCCTCCGAAGCTTAGCACAATGAATCTTCCTCCATCATCTATTATTAATAATAAAAATATGTCAGTATTGCCTATTGCATGAAGTACTTTGTGTATGTCATTTTATTTAGTCCATATATGTCTCATATTGCACTTTAAGAAAAGGAGACCCAAAAAGGAACAGAAGATTGCCCAAAGTCACAGCATCTACAGTACAGATAGGGTTCCATTTTCCAAAACCATCTGAAGTCTACTGCAATAGAGTTCCATCAGAGGATTATCTTAGGCTCTTATGAGTGATGGGATTTTAGGCAAGTTTCTTAGCCTCTTTAAACCTTTCTACACCTACCTATTCAACAGAAATAATAACAACAACTTAATATGCTTAGGTACAAGTTTAGAACAATGCCTAGCATGCAGTAGATGCCCCCAAATGTTTTCAGAGTTTCTGATTTCTGCCAGCTTGTTATAGCCTGTGACAAGTCCCATGACTTCCCTGGTTGGGCTGGACCGGGCTCCATAATTCAGTGAGTGGTACTTCTCTAAGGCCTGATTTACACATTCTTCATGGATGCGTGCTCCAGTGACACCCTGTCTCAGACTGGGAACAGTTCATCTTGGGAATTTATGTCCACCATCCTGGGTATTAACAACCCCTACAGGAGGTTTCTTCTCTATCCCCTTGCAATAGCAGCCTGTCACACATATACTTGCATGAATACATGCATCCATTCCATCACTCATATACCTATGGAAGAAAGCACATTGCAGGCAGGATGAATTGGGGACTGAGGTATGACCCTGACTTTGAGGAGCTCACCTCCAGAGGGAAGCGCTCAGTTCGTTCTTAGAAGTCACTCTTGATTGGCTAAAGTTCTTAAACATTTAAAGCTTTGTAAAACTCAAAAGAATTCTTAGAATCTCATTTACAAGTTAATTTAGGGATTATCTCTTTTGGGTCCTCTGTCAGCCTGCATAAAAATTGTTTTCATCCTTCATAGCTTTTTTTTCCTTATATGTGTCATGGTCCCAGATCAGTGAAGTAGTCCTAACAGCTGGGTGGGGGGACATCAGCGAGCATGGCAAAAGAGGACCTTGGGATCTAAGAAGCAGAAGGGGTGTCAAGGTTCAGAGTTGGAGCTAGGAATTGGAGCCCAAGGCCTGAACCCCCCAGGGGGGGGTACTCAGCCTCAGTCAGGAGAGGCTCTTCCAGATTGGGAGGGGGCTTAAAACTGAGTCAAAATGATACAGGGAAGTTTTTCTTCCACGAGCCTCTGCTTTCAACTGTTCACAGCATTCCTGGCCCTGAGATTTGAGGTCCTCTTCAGCAAAGACTTCTTTCCTCACTAGGCCATAGACTTGACAAGTTGAGGAAAATACACCCACTTTTAAATTAGGAAAGCCAAATTATCTCCCTATCTACCCCATTCCCCTCCTTCTGGGCCTGGGTGAGCCCCTGTGAACTGCACTCAACTCCACATTGGTAAGAAACCCTTTAAGAATGAATCCCCAGGACTATAGGCTCCTGTTTGAATTTTAATGCTTCCCCCTTTTGTACTATTTTTCCACCCAGGCATCACATAGCTTAAGTGAAAGAGCAGTTCTGGTTGTAAAGGAAAATTACATGTTTTGACTCAAAATTAATCTTTGTTTTCTCCCATCTCCATGGATAATTGCCATATGTCACTTTCTACCCACGTGCTGGTAGAAGCCTGTTGGCATTCTGGGGTGTTGGGCTGCCCCTCTGGAAGAAGTCCTAGGGAGAGGCAGCAATGTGGGCATGAGAGCTCAGGCTCAGCATTGAACAGTAAAGCTGAGACACTACATTTATTTTTAACCATGGTGTCACAGACATGGAGTTAAAACCGAAGGGGATAAAATCAGGCAGGGAAACTAAATGGACCAAGAATACTTCGGCAGGTGGGCAGAACATTACCCTGGAGGTGAGATGGCCTTGACCAGGTAGACTCAGGCTCTGTTACAGGCCAGGAGCACTGGCTGCTACATAGTGACATCCTGATGTATGTATATAAGGAGAACATCCTGTACTAGGCCCGTGATGAGTCCTAGAGTAGTGTGGATAGCATCAGCCCATTGGGAACTTTAGTTGATAACATGCAAACTATAACAACACTTAACAGTATAGAGTGAGTATACACAACTACATCAGATATGTCCTCATAAACCTTCATGTCTCCCTGTTACCTTCATAGGAATATTCTAACTCCTCTTCTTGCTACTCAAGACCTTAACCAATGTTTTTAGTTTGATATCCTGTCCCCTATTATACTCTTGACCTTGAGAAAACCTAAGCTGCCTCTTACAATACCCTTGACCTTGGAAATACCTGCTTTCAACCACTTGCTGCCACATGCATCATCCTGAGCATGCTGTCCATTTTTATGCTTCTATAACTTGTTCATCCTTTCCCTTTATCCTTTTCACTTTGTAGGTGCTGAATCCCTACTAACTCATTAAAACTTTATCCAAATGTCACATTCTGTTTTCCAGTCCCTCTTCCTGCCCAAGATAGAGCTATCTCCTCAGCTGGGCTCCTACTTGCATTTCATACACACTCCCTATACTGTCTAGTCTGGCATCTCTGCAGGTCTGGCTTCACCACAGAGGGAACAGAGGTATGAGCCATCTGCTGTTTAGGGTCTCCTTTCCTTCTCTGTAGTCCCATCTTTTATTACAGTGATGCTTTGCCTTCCCAGGCACCCCATAAACTGTTTCTGCATTCTCATACCCCTCTCTAGCCATTGCACAACTTATTTCAATGACACCATCTACTATAGCTTTGTCTGTAGCAATAAATCCAAATCCATCTCTCTAGGGACCTCACATCATCTTTGTCCTATGTAATCATATCTGTCTTGTATCTATGATGCTTTGAGGTGTGAAGAACTACTCTTCTCAATGACCTATGGATAGATGGCACCTTATAATCTAAGTACCACTTCTCCAACTCTCTTTTCACCAGAGTCTGCAAGGCAGGAAAAACATGCATTCTTCTCCTTTTTGGAAAAGAAATAGATCCTTACATCTAGGAAGGGACAGACTCCTTTAAGATACTATCTCAGGGCTGGGGATATGGTTATAGCAACTGACTTGCATGTGTGAGGACCTGACTTCCATTGCTAGCGCTGCAACCAAACAAACTTGAAAAGCTCACACAGTTTGTAGGTAGCAGTTCAAGTTTGAGCTTTTAAGACTAGAGTGTTAAGGGGCATGGGGTCTAGGCTCATCTCACCTGCACTAGACTGTCTCCTCAATTTGGCCAGATCTTCAAAGAACATGTGTTTTCAGGTACTGAGACTGGGGGGAGGAATGTCCAGGCCAGGTGTCCTTTGTGTGTGTACTGACACCTACTCCATCTTCATGTAGTTTGTGACCCATCAACCATGAATAAAATCAGTTGTGCTAAGGTCAGAGCACAATGTCCACAAGGCACATCCTAATTCAAATAGCCCACTCCATTTCCATTACTAGCACTCACCACTTCTGACTTCATGTTGTAATCTTCAAATTGAGTGGTTGTTTTGCACTTATGGTCTCTACTAAACCTAAACGAGTTGAGGACAGCATCAATGTCTGTCGTTATCTTTGACATGTCCAGAGTCTCTGGGGCCACATTCAACAAGGGAAAGGAAGCCTCCTGAGGTGCTCAATCATATTCTCTGCTTTAACTTCATAACACTACTAGAAGGCTGGAATAGTTGATTCTCATTGTACAAATGAAGTTCAGAGAAGTTCAGTTTCTTGCCCAAGGCCATACTTCTGAAATCAGCCGACTTGGGAATTCAGAGCAGTTATTTGAGGCTTAAAATTAAGACCAGTCTTCCCACTTGGAATAAATCTTAACTCCAGTGACTACATAAATCAATTTGTCAGTCAAAAATATAACAAATAAGGCACCAAATAAGGTAAAATGCAACAGTGAATAAAATCGGTTCCTACTCCACAGGAGCTCATTATCTCTTATGTGAACAAAACCACTTAATGATGGTGGTAAAATTAGGGTGTTGGGTGCTGGATGCTGGGTGCTGGGTGCAGAGACATACAGGTAAGACAGACACACTTCTGCTGCCTGAGGTATCCAAGCATGCTAGGAAGACAGACATTATAAGTTGCTGTGATGAGGCAATAAAACTGGGATTCTGAAGTTCTTGGTCGTCATACAGGGAATGACAGACTGATGTCCCAGTCCCCTAATTGCTCTCCCCTCTCCCTTCCCCTCCCCTCTTCTCTTTCTTCCCCCTTCTCTCTCCTCTCTCTCATTCAAAAGGGATTCTCCAAGCCCATAGGACCTCAAGATAGGCAGCACAATCCAAATTTCCAAACTATAGCTTTTGGGTGTGTGTTCCTATGCCCTTCTCATGTGTAATATGTTAAATTAGTTGCAGTGCAAGAGGAAACATACCAGATTAGAGTTGTGGGAGAGTTAAATTTTCTCCAGGTCTAGAATGAAGCAATGCATGTATGCATTCATTCATCCATCTATTCATCCATCATCCATCCATCCATTGGCTGGCCAGTCATCCATCCTACAGACATTCATTGAGCTACTATTACTGCTTTAACCAGACCTGGACTGGGTTCTGGGGACACAGAGAAGAAGATGGCAAGGCCACTGTACCTGTAAGGTCTGTGTCCAGTGACGAAGATGGACATGCACACAGGTGAACTCATTGCAGTGTGTATATGGGCTGTCTTCTCTTTCTGTTGTTTCCCTTTTGCAGGAAAGAAAATCCCCCTCCTTACAAGCACCCATCCCTGCGGGGCTCAACCAACAATGTTCCCAGCAGCAAAGGGGACAAGAAGAGCTCACTGAACCACAAAGACCCTTCAACCCCCTTTTAAAGACATGACACCTGGAGGCATTGTGGGAGCAGGAACATGCCTTTCATTGGGGGCACAAAATTAAGTGTCACTCCCTGGCTTCCAAGACGGGGTTCTCAGCATAATGCATATGCTTGTGAAAGGGAGGAGGAAAAGAGAGAACTTTTATCATTGATTTTTTCCCTTTTACCAATGGGAAATGAATTGTGAGCCTTCAACTCAAGGCTAAGTGGAGAAGGAGAGTGGAGCCAGGTAAGCACAG